GAACACATAAAACGTCACAATATTAAGAAATGATCTCATTAATAATCTATATTCCTACACTCATATTTTCTTTTTGACTTATTATTGCACATACTGTATACAGTCAGTTACTTATATCTAAAGCTGATATTACGGACGGGAACAATAAACGAGAAAGAGACGGGCAATTAAGGTGTACACTTTATTTCAATTTCAACTGAATGCTTTTAAAATACAGGTCGTTCTTGTATGGAAAATAAAGAGATCATTCAACCCCTCTCGGAATTCTTCTGTGACGGTAGATTACCAACAAAACAACGCTTTGACATTTACTCCGAGGATTGCCTAGAACTAGATGTCTACACACCGAACACAAAGGGAAAACTACCTGTTTTGTTTTGGATACATGGGGGTGGTCTTAATTTTGGTATGTGGATTTTTAAGAAAAACAAAAAAGGCCATTCTTACATGGTCATAAGAATTCACATTTGTCCATTTATATTACGAATTCATCGGGGTCCTTTGAATTACGTATTTATACAGACTTTAACAGACAGGGTGCAAAATGACCCCCAAGCTGTTATGAGACCAGAAAGATGGAAACAGAGGCCTATCTTTTTTATATTTTCTCCAAGATGAGTTGATACCTCTGAATTCATAAATGACTCTATCCTCTATCCAAACATCTATGTAATATGAAATAATTCCAGGCACTGGCCACACATACAATGGAACTGCCTTGTCTACATTCACAGATTTAGTGGTTGTCTCGATTAATTACAGGATGGGACACTTAGGTAGGTAAATTACATTTTAATCATTTTTGTCATAACAAAATGAAGAAAAATGTCAAAAAGTCCAATGATCGTGGTAACGTAATTTGCGCTGGACGAAAACAAAAGTGTACTTGTACGTAATTATGTTGACTTAATGAGTTCATCATTTATTTATTGATTACTGCTAGGATGAAATTTTCACAAGTTAAAACAAATATTCCGTATTTCTATGAAATACAAAGTGATCCTAGAGAATGTAATGATATAATAAAACAAATATTTCATTCTATGGAGGGCAATACCTGTTCATCTCCAATGATTTTTGCAATAGGGCTATGTATTACCCGCAGCGAGGGAAATACATGCTGCTAAAATCATTGAAAGTGCAACAGGTATTGTCCGAATTTGCTTAATATTCTGGTGAAAGAGGGTATTATAAGACTAACTACATTTCATTTTAGAGTTAAATCATAGTTAAGATTGTGCACTGCTTTTTGTGATGTGCTTACTATTCAAGAAATATGAGTATACCATAACAAATGTATCTCTTTTAAATAAAGGACAATAAAGATATGATTATTAGTATGCAATATGCAATATATGAACGTTGAACAGGTTTCTTGAACTCTGGCGATAACCAAATTCCTGGCAACATGGGGTTCCTTGACCAACAGATGGCACTGAAGTGGACAAGCGAAAACATACATGCTTTTGGTGGAGACCCGGATCGAATAACCATAGCAGGAGAGAGTGCGGGTAAAGTGTGTTTTCTACCTTGACAATCGTGTTGGTATAGTTTGCAAAAGGAAAGTTAGTATAGATTATATGTTTGTGGTAGGTTTCGGCTATGCCCCCGCGCCAACGTAGAGTTCTTGGTTAAGTTGTGCGTGGAGTTACTAATGATATCGATCCCATCATCATCGGCATTTATGTTATTTACAATAATGTTAAAGGTAGCTGGAGTGTTTCTGCACATCTGGTGTCTCATGGGAGTAAACCCTTCTTCAAGAGAGCCATTCTTCAGAGTGGATCTATCCTTACGGACAAAATAATGAATGATAACCCAAGGAAAAGGTTTGACGAGACTGTGGAAAAATTAGGTAATCTTTTTGTATGACCCAGTTATTTTAAATGATACAACATGATAAATTGTAAAACACTTGTTTATTAGTTTTTCAGATAAAACGAGAGGGTTACATTTTAGTGTCAAATAAACCCGCATGCATTCTGAGAGTAATCGATCGAACAATAAGCAACAGAAGTATATATTGAATATTATACTATTGTTAGTAACCACTCTTTGTGGTTTAAAAATGTTACCCATCTTAGTTGAATTTAATTCGAATGGCTCTTAATAATCTGAAATCTCCGTGACAAAATCATAAATTATTCAAAAAATAAATTCATTTCGGGTCCTCCAGATTTCTCCATAAATTCTGCAACATATTTGGTTGCAGGTTGCAAATATGAAACATTGAGGCAAACGGTGCATTGCTTGCGAGTGATATCTGCCGAGGATATTGCAAAAATAGGGAGCTTTATGTATGGTGAATGGGTAACATTGGACGGCGGTCTGTTTTTCCCTGAGCACCCCAAGGATTTGTATGCGAAGACAGATTTCAGTGATAAAGAAGTCATGGTAGGGGTAGCTGAGCAGGAGGGATATGTATTCCTTCAAACTTTAGGTGAATGATAATTTAAAATTAATCCAATATGATATAATTTTCCACCAAAGATGTCTTTTAGTCCCTGACCTGTTCCAAAAAGTGATATGTCGTTGTGCTCTGCCACAAAAATGAACATACCATTTTTATTTGAACGTATTGACTTTCCTCATATAGAAAATTATATTTCCTTTTCATTGTAACAGGAGGGGTTTCCTCTAAAATGGGGTCACATAACGTCGCCTTCCAAAAATAACTTTATATATGAATAAACACAAGGAGCACACGCGTCTCGAACTCGCAACCTCGTGGTTATGGCGCACAATATATTTTTTTTCCCCTTTTTACCACATAAACTGCATTTCAAGGATGATATCAACTGACTATTATCCACTATTGTACAAATTCAATTGGTACTCAAGGAACAGAATTTGCATGAATCTTGTCAAACAATTATTTAATTTTTCATAATATTATACCCTGCGACTTTTATAATGAAAATATGACTCCAAAACAGACACAGTTGTATCGATTCCTTATTCCTTTGGTTGAATTTACCACCGATCCCACAGACATTTTGTAAGCAACCTAACTGCGGAGACTACTACTGTCCTACATTGCGTTATAATTTTAACCAATTAGTTCTATGTTTATAGGAGATACCCAAGTAGCTGATTATACTTATTCACATTTCCTGGATGAGATAAGACGAGGACTTACACTTTTTATGAAGAATGATGCTCTCACAACTAAGCATGTAGAGAAAATGGCAAAAATGTATTTTAAAGATAACCATTCCCCTAAAGTGGAGAGTCTTTACAAAGTGAAAGCTGTTGATATAGTGGGCGACTTTAGCATGGCTTTCCCAGCTCTCAATTTGACGGACACCATAAAGGGTTGGTTAATATCATATTGTTGAAAATTGTTACGATTTTCGTTGTGACAGTACTAAATATTATATTGCAACTACTGTCATATATTTTTGGGGTTCTTTGTTTCTTCTGCTTTATTCGATACAGAGATCCGACTTGCTTGATATGTTAAGTGTCATTTTTTGGTCAACATAACTCAACATGATTATCAAAACACTGACCCGGGCCCTAAAGAACACTCTTTAGTGTCTGTTAACCGTTCTTATCCAGAAACCCTAAGATTTATTTATATCATTTTAGTTTTAGGGACAACATCGGAAGCGATTCTTACATCTTCATCAAAAATATAAAATCTGCATCATTCATCACAAAAATAACAAAAATGGACGTTGTTTAAGACCCACCCTATATGATGAATGAAGTTCAATATAGCACATTGGTTCTGTATTCATGTTTTTTCACGTCTCCTCTGCCCTGTCGTGCCTTTCTGATGATAAAGTTTTGTTTTCTACAGCAAATGGTGGTAAGACTTACTTTTACGTCTTCACACACGAACCAAGTTTCATTCAGCCTAAAAGACCAGAGTTCGTTGTGTCCACACACTTTGATGATGTTTACTTCATGTTTGGTACTGGATTCTTGGATATCTGGGTAGACGAAGAAAAGGGCTATGTATTTAACGAAGCTGAACAGGAATTTAGTAAACAAATGATGCGATACTGGGCCAACTTTGCAGCAACAGGGTACGGCTGTTAATGCATGAAATCTTAGTGATTGATTTAAGATTTTTTCATTCATCTGAAAAACATGTTTCATCAATTTATCTCATCATGCGCATTTCATCATATTTTTGTATTGCACTTTTAGAAATCCAAATCGCGAGGATCTTCCACACTGGCCGGAGTATGACTTGGAAGAAGAAGAATTTGCAATATTAAAACCAAGGATGTCTCGTTCACAAAGGTTTTCCCAAAGTAAATACCTATTTTGGAAAAAGTTTATGGCAGGTGTAGAGAAGCAAAGACTAAAAGCTAAAGAACAGAAACAAAAAGATGAACTGTGATAAGATATGATAGACGATTTGCTTTGATTTATACAGTTGTTGAATAATAATGATCAATATTTCTGGACATACACATTTTTCTTAAACTTTTATTTCAAGAGATAGACGTCCTTGATATCAACTAGTTCATTTCCAGACAACAAACATGTCAAAGTCGAGGTAGGTTTACCACTCCGATTTAGTATCACATTTTACTAAATAGTTTACATCTAATATTTGTAGGACCTTTAGAGGAATGCACACCCTGAACGGTTGATTTGTTGTTAAAAACACTGACCTTCTTTGATGACCTTGACCTTAAAAATTTACATTTTAGACCTCAGTAGATCTTTTGTAATTAAGCTGACCTAATTTGAATAAAAAGGTCAGTTTTAAAAATCCGCTTTCTGACCTATCGAAGGTCAACCAAATCTCACATCTAAGGTCAGATTTTGAAAAATTGGTCAATTTGAAGCAATTTGAAAGTTGGTCTCCGCGGAACTGTGACATTTCAAACACTATCCAGCTTATTTTTCTAAGTTGGCGAGTAATCTAAAAGATGCATTACCAAATAAGGTTGCAGATTTAAGTAGTTATGTTAATAATTCACCTATCAAAGAAAAACATAGAAGTATTTTGAAACGAATCAATGGTTCTTTTATTCAACTATGCTTTACAAGGCATTTTCATTAATCCAGTTTTGTCATTATATTACTGTCAATTTGCGGCAAAGTCCTTCCACACACACTGATTTGATTCCTTTCTCTTTATTGAAACCACACGGGGTTCCATCGGGGAATAAGGCAGCTCTCCAACGCCGACGGTAATTGGTGTTACAGTTTACGTCACAAAGCTCATCTCCTGTAAAGATATATCACACCATCAGCGAAGCAATTTGAATTCATCAAAAATTATCACACACGTACAGAAATAAAGATAAATCATAAATCAACTGCATGAATTGGAATGAATCAGAAATATGAAGCTTACCCCCACATTGTGGTATCCAGCATGGTATTAATTTTTCTTTCTTGTTTAAACACCTCGCAAGTCCCCATAGACTCCCACGTCCAAGGGGATTTCTAAAACATTGAATTACGAGACACAATCTAAGTAAAATACATTTTTAACACGTACATCTTGTTTTACATTTGAAAATATCACTAATCTATGTCTAACATAATTACGGTCAGTTCAATGAATAGGATATACTTTTTCAACAGAATCTGATTTGAGATAATTTCTGAGAACAATATATCTATGAATTGCCATAGGCTATACATATACGAAATATAGTGTGTCTTTCTTGCATGTATCTAAATGGAAAATACAGGGTGACCCAAAATGGCTATTGGCAATTTTGCGTACACACAATCAGACACCCGAAATCAGAAATCACCGCAAATATCAAAGCTATCCCAAGAGTAGCGTGTTCACGAAATTGACAACTTCGCGCATCGCATTCAGGAGTGGCTGCGACGTCGAGGTGGTCATATCGGAGACATTTTTGAACGGCCATAAAAGACGGACAATTCGAATGACAAGACCAAAACTTGAGGACTTACGTATTTGTCATCACCTTAGCTTGTTATGAATGAAAAGTGAAACATTTATCTTATCGGTTATAGTAAAAACAAGAACATTTATGGGTTCCATTCATTTTGTGTCAACAAAATTATTTTATAGCTATAACCTTAAGTTTCAGAAGTATAGTCTAGTAAATGGAAATATAAGTGGAATGATAGATATAAATGGCCGACCTAGAGTGCAAATTGAGACAGTGGTAAAGGAGGGGAGAAATAAACACATGGGATGGAGTCGGTCTACCGAATTTCAATAACGTTCAATGATGACACTCTTATCTGTTAAATATTATCGAATTGAACACGCCATATGAAGACATATAAACCAATTCATATCCAAAAAACATATTGTAGTATGCCATTTACATACAGACTGACGTTATATGTACAAATCCTCTCAATGCTTTATTGTTTTAGATGAAGCCTATATGTTGAGCGAAACTTCTCATACTGTAGTGGTATTTAATCCGAGTGGTTAATTTTCCGAATGGTCAAATTCCATCATTTTCCTAATTTTAATTTTCCTAATGACAAGAAACCTCCCATTGGATAACATTATAAAGACAATATTTCCGACATTTAATTTTCTGGCAAAAATTAGGAAATAGGCAAATTAAATGATTAGGCAAAATTACCACTTATACAGTATACATCTCACTACAATATCCAATCATCACTGATAAACTGCCAGTTTACTTAACATATATCTAAAGATGTACAATTCACAAATAGGACATCAACACTGATAAAAGTAAAAGATAAAATAATGTTGACCTTTCATGGTTTGAATGCATTTATTTTAACGAATTAAAATCATACCTGGCATAATCATAACAATAATTCATAGCTACCTGCAGTGGTTCTCGGCTGCTGAGACATTTGCATCGTAAGGAAAACGCCAATCTTGATTTTTCCAGTTATCAAAACTGTCCCATCGAGCACATTCTTCATTTCCCCATGTCCTGCTTTTATTCCCAGTATAAGCAAGGCCATTTACTCCAGGCAAACAACCACCTTTAGGTAGAATATTATGATAGTATAAAGATATAGGATATGGGCATGCGGCAAATTACATTATACGATGTAGGCATCCTTGGACTAGGGTTTCTCACTTCTTTCCATACCCTTGGTTTCACGCCCGGTGAAAATGGGATTGAGGGTTGGCGGAGTCAATTTCTGCTGGAACATTCAAAAGATTTATTTTTTCAAAAAAATAGTTTAAAATTGAATTCCTGAATGAATAGACAAACCATATGATAAAACATCTTTTTGAACCGACGATAGGCTTCTAAGATATGGGATCTATAAAAAATGGTGCAAGACCACAAATGTGCACAAGTCAATGTTTTTGCTGTAAATCACGCAATAATAGTCTACACGACCTATGATAAAAACTTGTAAGTAACATTATCATAACTAAATTAATATCATTGCTGACTTTATAGAATAAGTTTCCAAACATTATACAAAAATAGTCGAAAATAATTAAAATGGGACGGAGGGGGAGCAATATGTATATAAGAGATAATAAGAGATGTGAATTGACTTTAAGTCATATAACTCCAAATTTCCCCATTTTCAATTCTTCAGAGATGTAAGATCCAGTTACTTACTAAGTTACTGAGTTCATTTTTCAAATACAAGAATTTATGAAAAGTTGTTTTACTTCATAGACATTGCTCCCTCTTCCGTCCCCTCCCCCTCAAAATAAAAGAATAAAAACTGTTTACTTCATTTATATGGAATTCTACAGTTGAAAATTAAAAGTAAGCTGTATATATTACAAAATACAAAGGTTAACAATGAAGTTAATGTACTACAATATGTATTTCAAAGTTCAAAAAGACTTCTAACGCTATTAGAATTCAATGACAAATTCCACACTAATATTAATTTTTTAGACTATTTGAGTCTAAAAAAACACTATTCCAAAATCTTGGCTAAGAGACGTCATGGAGAATAATCAGAATATCACTGATTATGAAAGAAACAAAGCACATGTAAAAAAAGTTTCTTACTCAGTCAAATATTAATAAAATAATATACTGGAAATTTGTTCAGAACCTAGAAAAGATTTGTTTTTTTTGCAATTGCTTTAACATGTTTTTTCTTCTCTGAAATAAAAAATTAAATAAATAAAGAAATAAAAAGAACTCTATGATTTCAAAACCGTAAAAAGTGTAGTCTAGACCCACAATGTTCCCCACCAAAAAGACTACTGAAACGCACCATCTACGAGTTACAATTTGGGCCTTTGATAATCTTGCCGGTAACCACTAGACCAACAGTGTTACAGACATAATAGACAAGAAAAAGTACTTGAATTATATTTGAAAAGTTCGGCTCTCTAGAAAATCTACGTAGGGGCCACTTCCGTACCAACAAAATGTCGGTTCTCTATCTGGCCCATCGTCAGTGACGACATATGTCGGTACGTCAGCAAATGCTCACTAAGTAGACAGTCCGTTTAATATATAAGTACATTTTGAGAATACTTTCAATATAAAAAGTAGGTTAAGCATTTATTTAAACATTACAAATATGCAACATCATAAAATCTTATTTTTCAAAAAGACTTCAAAGTATTTTATGCGGATGCATAGACACTAGTCATTTTCTCGAATACGTTTTGAACTCGAAGGGAAACAACCTTAACCCGTACCTTCACGATGTCCGTCATTAAATTTGGTTCGTTTCCCACCGAATCCAGCCCACAAATACTCGGCAAATATGGTGTTTCCTTTTAAATCTGTAGGGTATTTATTGCATATTTTCGTCCCTATATCTACGACGTGTTGTTCCAATTCGTCAACTGTTGTTGGTCCATTTTGGCAATCCTAATATACGGAAATCAATGGAATAAGGAATACAATATCATATGACTAGCCGTCCCCTATTAATATGATGGGAAAGGAGGGGGGGGGGGGGTTGAATGTAGAATGAACCAGGGAGTTTTTCATGCATTTCGCTTATAATTTCATCTAAAAAACATCAATACACTTCAAAACATGTTATTGACTTGCGATATAAACCAAAACAACACCAATAAGGTGTACTGTATTAAAAAATTACTTTCCTGTTATCTCAAAATCTGCTTGGAACTGCATGTACCATTGGATTACACAATTTTAGAAATTATTGGTATACATGAAACCTATTAAAAACAGCATTTATTATTCAAAAGTGAATATGATCAACGATTCCCAGTCCTCTGAAGTTAAAAAAAATAATAAAAATACCTGGGTGTTAATCCATAGATAATCCTTGAAAATGAGAAATATTTTTGGCGATTTAGGGTCAATCTTAAAGTCAATAAAATGTTTTAAAGTGTATTGATGTTATTTTTGTAAAACATAAGCGAATGTTTGAAAAACTCCCCCGATTTATTCTACAAACAACTCCCCCTCCATCCCTGAACCAGGTAACTTTTTCGAAATATAAATGGAAAACTGGAATTTGAAATTAACTTTTAAAAAAGGAGAGAGACTGATTATATTTTGGGCAAAAAAACATTAAAAGAAGATAAGATTGTGCATAGAATATATATATATATACAGTATTTACCGCTGTTTGACAAAGTTTGGCTTCAAAGTAATCCCCATCACATTTAGTGTTCTTTGGTCTGGAAAATAAGGAAACATGCCACTTAATTGGAATTGGTTTATTAAAAAGGCATTACATGTTTGGTTAAATATTATTATTATATATATACACATACATATTATAGTTAGTTAGTTAGTTAGTTAGTAAAATATTTATTAAAGTCTCACACTGTAGTTAACAATATACATACTAAAATAACATACAATAATTAACAGTCCCGCCGGCTTCGGCGTATGAGAGACTCAAGAAAGCAATGTAAAAATATATCAAAAGTATGCTCAGATGTAAAAGTTTTAAATATCATATTCTCTTCTATTGCACATTATTTTATGTATAGTTTTTGCCAATGGTCTTTGTAAAATAGAATTGTTCATAATTGAGCAGTATTTAGCTAGACTAGATAATGTATTAAAGTCAGTTATTTCATTTTTGCAAAGTTCAATAAAATCCCTTCGTGCATAAGTATGAAGATCACAGTCAATGAGGATATGCATTTCATCTTCGACCCCTTGTTGACACATGCATAATCTTTCTTGAAGGGGAATATCATTGTATAAACTTATATAATAAACTATGCAAATAAAAATAATTAACCTATTAAAAAGGCCATGGAAGATTTTCATTGTTCTCATATTACAGCATCTTGGATTTCCAAAGCATGATGTGTTCATGATTGAAAATCAATCTGGGAAACGAGTATGATATTACAGGGTGGGGCAAAAACGTTCATATTTTTTTCGATATAACCTTTTCGAAAATGCCTGGATTTCAAAAAATGTTGGCAGGATATGAAGTAATCAGTTTTACATTTGTTCCCGAATCGGGATAAATTAATCAGAAAATTATTCAAAGCAACATTTTTACACCAGTGAATTCAAGGCTACTCACTTTGGCGAATCGCATTTTCTCAATCGCTTCATGATTCCGCCACCACATGTATGTGAACAGCCACTCCATGGGCCCCATGATCCCCAACTTCCAGGGACTACCATAGGATGTCCAAGGTTAGAAGCGATATGGCTTGGGTCCTTATCCCAGGCGATGCAACCAACACCACCTCTGCACCACTTTCATGAGATTCAAAATATAATGTAGTTGCTCTAAACTGAGCAAACTAAAGTTACATAGATTTAGTATGTTTCTTTATGAAAATAAGTGACATATTTTGGGGTTCCAATTCCAATACTCCATTAAAAGTGTGATAGGAGTTTCATCTTGAAACATCTGGCCTACTTATGAATTGTCCACTTGTCTAATTAATCAGTGCCACTGGGTCTTATGTAATCGATTTAGTCAGCTATATGAAAATATGTCGTTTCTCAATTTCTGCTCATCACTATTTTGATACAAGATTGAACATGTATTTTAGTTCTGTTAGTCATGTTTTCGAACCTCATTAGGTGCTCTATTATGTGCTTCATAAATTACATATTGAGCAGAAGAGGGTCAAAAGAAAGACGTTATTTTAGGGAGCGTTTCAAAACATCGATGTCGATGTCGGAAAATTAACTGTATTTGAACAGTAAGGGCGGGGGTCATTAGCCTTAAAAGTTAGCTTTCTTACATCGTTCCCAGAATTGAAATTAGTGAAAATGTTGGATATACACTCCGGATTCTACAGTTAGATACAATACATGAGACAAAAAATACAGATTGGAATAATTATGAAAAATCGACTGTATTGACGTGTCGCAAAAAGGTGGCGCATTTGTTTTTTAAGGGTATCGCGTGAATGTAACTTTGCATTGCACAGAATTGGTCGAATAGCCGATAGATGTCATTCATTGATTAAACATGACGTCATCTTTGAGATCTTAAGATAAATCTGACGTCATGACGTCAGTGCCATAGAAACTGAGATTGTCTTATTTTATTTTGACGTCATTCCAATGTAATGAACCAGTTATATCACCAAAAGTTATCATATTTTGTTTGAAATTGGCCGAAAAGTTAAAGGTATGAGGATAGATCTACCTTCAAAGTTACAGAAACCTGAGATGACTAAGATACCATATGATTTTAAGTACCTCTACCAGACCGTTGAATATCCTCATTTCACCATTTTGACGCCATTTCTAATGGATTTCAATGGAGTCATGCATGAATTCCTCATGATTTTTTTCAAAACAAATTGGCCGAAAAGTGTGCATGTGTACATTGCTTAAAACATGTTAAATCAGTAAAGGTTGATGTCTAGTTATAGAAACCTGAGATGACTAAGGTGGCAAATCAATATCATTCGCACAGTAAGCGTTCGAAAAATGTCTCCATTATAAATCCCATAGGCTTTGGAAAACCGGAAGTAATGGTTCTGCGCATGCGCAGTGAAATATTGGACAAATTTTGTGCAATGTGATTCCCCGGACTATAAGATAATATTCTAATTAAAGTTATATATCATTTTAAAGCTGTTTCGATGAAGTTTTTAGATCAACTACACTCCGTTCACGATTCTTGCGCGTTCTTTTAAAAAAAGATATTTGACTATTATACTTATTTTTCGTCTTGATAAAAGTAGATGGAAGTTTTATTTCAAAGGATGAATTTTAGTAAGCGTCCCATATTGTGACGTCATAGAGTTTGAAAAATAGAATCTGTTGACAGCGACCTTTTTCGCTCATTTTTTGTTACCTTAAACTTTTCAGGTGTACATTAAACAAAAAATACGAGATCAATTTTTAATAAATCATACATGATTATTTTGCTCTTAAACTCTAGTTTATTAATAAATGGTTGATTTTGTTCGCAAAAGTATGTGTTTTCTGTTGTATGTGGAAAAGTGGAGGACGAAAGATTTTCAAAATTCATAAAAATAGGGCTTTACGCCATTCGCCTATTTTCAAGCACAGCAACACGTATATTTATTTCACCTAAAATATCAATTGATTCGTGTTTTATGATGCTCCCATCCCATTGTTAATACATATACGATATCAGAGTTATTCGCCATAGATATTTTGAGATATAGAGGCAAATGTGGAGGACGAAAGGATTTCCATATGTGTACATTTTTCTCAAAAAACGTCACATTCTGTGGTGTTAAAAAGCGAAAATGTGTAACAATGCGTGCGCGACCTTTTTGCGACATGTCATTACATATTGTGTTAGATATAGTGTGACTTAACGCAATAACGCATATCAACATTTCTTAAATACAGTTATGAGGGAGAGGGAGGGGGTCACAGATTAACTGTTCAATTACAGATAGTAAGCCTAATGCTGAACTTTTTGAGATGCTCCCTTATTTTGCGCCTTTTATCGGAGGTATGTCACTAAAAAATATGATTTAGGAAAATTTGTTTATGGTTCAATACTTGAATTAAATCTTACAAACTGTGTAAAATGGGCGTGGCTGAAAAGATGAATTGTTAAAATCGATACTTTTCGTCATCATCTTGAAATATTTTTACATTTATTCAATTTGGTCACTCAAATAGTTCACACATTTCCTACCTAATACAAAACAGATAATTCAAGGAGGTTAAAAATTGAGCGAGTTCATTATTTTAAAGTACCCTTGTCTTTCTCATAGAGGCCCATGGAAATACTTAATTGCTTTTAAATTGTTAACACATGTAAACCAAAAATAAATGATTTGGTTAACAGGGTTCTATAAACGAAAACTAAATTCGATGGACAAAGACTTGGGAAATTAACTTTTAAACTCTGTGAATCAATATGTGTGTCACTAGACCAAAACAGGTTGTTTTTCAATCGGGTTCAATAAAATGTTGCATTGATTATCATACCTTTTTTCCTCCACACCAAGTTCCTTGAAGAGTCAGCATATTTTCCACTTTCTTAATTTCGTAGGTCGATAGGTTGATACAGTGTTGAGTTCGAGATGAACATATATTCTAGGAAAATATAAACGATAGGCTAAAGTAATTATATTTCACGTTTCAGTCGAAGAATATAGCAATATTTCAAAGGGCAACATAGTGAATTCTTGGCCCGAGGACCAAGATTATGTTGCCCACAAGCAAATCTTGTAGGTCTTGACAAGACAAGCCCTCCCTGAGAATGGTGATCAAAGCTTACAGGAAGGAGTCAACTAATTACATATTTTAAAGTTACAGTTAATTCATAATTTTTGAAAGATATGTAAATGTCTAATCAGTCTACCTACCATCCATTTTATTTATTCTTTTGAAATCGGCGATCAAATTATATACAGTATATATATCATATATAAGGGTGTTCCAGATGTCATTAGAATTTTTGAGGGAGATATAAAGCAACGTTTTTTTGTCAAATTTGGAGCACTTATTAAGCAAACATTGAGGAATGATAAGTGACATCAATTTCGGCCTCATAGCTGTTCATTTTACACACCCTCACAACTGTAAAAGCAGTGTTTTAATTGTATTGGTTTAGCTTTTTGGCACATAAGTTAATGATATCATACACGTGTATAGCTAAAGTCACTCCTCAAATTAATTCCCCTGGTTGTCTATTATCTGTTGGTGCCTTATCAACCACTCTTTATACAACTTCCCAAATCCTTTCTTCTGGAGATTCCCTTCAAACAGCATGACGCCTCTTCTGTTTCAACCACATGGCCTGCTTATCGTTGTTAAAATTTTGAAAATGCAGCTGTTTTGAGCATGATTAACTCAATTAAGGTCCCCAAAGAAATAAAAGTCTAGTGGAGCAGAATCTGTGAGTATGATGATGTAAATAAAGTTTCAATAGAAAGTATATCCAACTTATGCTATTACAGTTGAGAAGGTGTGTAAAATGAACAAAATGTGACGATAACTCCAGGGCAATATAGTGAAATATTGGAAAGAGAACCGAAGGCAGAAATGACCAGGATGAAACAGCAAGAAAATCTTACGCACTGAACGATATCTAATTTCTCGGGGAAAATTGCCGGTCATTAATGACATTCTTGACCGGCAATATTGACCGCCTCTATGACGTCACATATTGCTCAGGTCGATATAGTAAAATGGATGCCTTCTTAACTTGCACTAAAACTCCTAGAACTGGCCAGGTGTAAAAGGGCAGGAGGTCCTTTCGAATTATGGTCCTACTCTACACTGATTTATATGGTGACCTAAATACAACTATTTCCCTCGTTATCTTATACGCAATCAGGGCCAGTAAGGGCCGTTAAGAAAGGGGACCATAATCCCTGGGGGACCATCATTTCTTTGACACCGGTAAGGTGGTAATAATATCCATTATGCTATGCTTGTCACTACGGCCCGCGATCAAGAACACTTTTAGACCAGGTCCCACAGGATAATAATCGGGTGTAATGTGTTTATTATACTCCAGATGGAATCTCTAGTCCATTGTATTTTCATCATTCTTTTTGTGTTCAGTTGCAACCACCTTAGTATTTTATGCTTGAAAAGGATGAGTTACTAAATTCAATTTCACAAAATTGAACAACAAACGACTGAATACCTTTCTCGTTCCATATACGAATTTGCGATCCCCTTCGTCTTGAAAGAATGACCAGCCTTTACCGAGGTGAAGCTCACATTGTTTATCCATGTCCCACCGTTGTCCTTCCATATCAGTATCGTCTAACATCAAAGGTTCTTGGTAGTATTCATACACATCATCGTAGACACACGCACCAGGGCCAAGGCCTCTGTTGAGTGAGATAATGAATAACATAATTATAGAATTGCATATGAATTAAAGCCGGGAAGTCTGGTTATTTGACACTACCAACACAATATATCACTTAACGCAAAAAGCAAATTTGGCTTTTAGAAATGCTCTCGGTAATTTGATTTTTTAATAAAGCTGTAATGCATGCATTTAGACCACCGCTTTTGTTACATTGACGCAAGTCGTCCAAGTAACATACATTGATATATAACGGACTTTCGTCAATGTAACAAAAGCGAGGGGCTAAATATATGAATTGCAACTTCATTTACAAAACAAATTCCAAATCGAAGAAACTTGTTAAAACTAAACTATATTTTCTAGCTTTGTGCCAAATTATTATTATTTCATTTTGACCGTTCTTTAAAAGACTCCAGTCACATTGACTTCTTGCCGAAAAGTCTAAACGAATTCAAGGTATGATAGCCTCCACTTTCACAAAACACTGTAATGTCATGCGTCCCAAATTTGGAGGGGAAGTGTACGATTCAATGTTTGTCTCTTCACATTTAACAAAACTAACACAGATAAAATTAAATCAATGCAATATAACACTGGGAGATCAATTCTCCAAATAAGATGTTGTCCTGCCAGAGAGGCACTTCTAGGTGATTTAGGCTGGAGACCTCTTGTCGATATCATTGAATAAAGACAAATAAATTGCTTTATATACGAAAATGTAATATCAAAGAAGGGTAATTACACAAAAATATATTTAAGTCTATGTTTGATGCCTTCATACTAATGATGAAAGCAAAGCATCCCCTTACTTTTCAAACATAAAATCCATCCTAATAAAAAATGGACTGAATGATGTAATCTACAGAGATGATATTGACTGGTGTCAGGCTTTTATCAAGATATCAGATCAGAGGGTTAATAATTTTCAATCTGCATTGAAGGACAACTCATCACTCTCACTGTATCAAAGTCTAAATCCCCATCCCTTCTTAAAAAACTACCTGACCACAGATGTTGACTTCTCCTATGGGCAAAAACTTAAGTTCAAACCTAGATCAGGTTGTTTTGGCTTAAGAACAGACTACGAAACATGTGGATAGGGAAATGGAATGTGTACTTTATGTGATAAAAATGTAAAAGACCATCCAACATAGACATTTTGTTTGCCCTTTCTTTTGTAATGATAGAAATACTTTTTATAAAAATGTTATAGAAAAATGTAATCCAGCACTATCATCAGATCTTTTATCAACCAGTGTGCAAACTAAAACATGTTGGGGTTAAGAAGAGGACATTTAGGGTCTTTTAAAATTATATATAAACCCCAGACCCATTAACATGTTTTAGTTACTTATATATAATGCCTATTAACTGATGTATTCTTTTAAATGTGTTGTCAAATGTCTGGAATAACTTTGTACACTGTATTTGTGCTCCGCTGTATTAAAAGCATTACCAATAAATAAATAAAATAAAAATAATTATAATTTGCAGCTTGACTTATACGCAGGTTTAAATCGAGAAAACAGAAAACTCGTAAAGTGGAAGTTCATCCATTTTGTTACATTGACGTTCCGTCAAAGTAACTAGTGGAACAGTGATATCACTGAGTTGCATTTTTGACTGACCGTGTAAGATTTTTATTTTCAAAACCTACCTCATTTTTTGTTCAAATTCCTTAGCCTGGCATCTAGATAACAATGCGTTTAAACCCCTATCGTCGTGACAATCTTTATCTTTGTATCCACTGTTATGACCAAAACGCAACCTGAATTATATTGGAAAAAATACAATAAACTTTCAAAGTATTCTCAGTATTATAATGAACCATTTTAAGAGAAAAAATTACATTGGATTACACGTTAATAGACAATATTTCATATAGGAACAACATCTGCCACTGCGAGGAACTTAAAAAGATCACTCGTCTACTACAAGTACAAGAAATATGACCAATAGAGTCTTCAATATAGCTTTGAAATCTCGTTTTGAAGTCTCGTTTTAATGAGTTCTACATTTTTACCCATAAAAGACCCATGGTTTATTTTATTTGATGGCATATTTGAATTCTAGGTGAAATTTTCTATCAAAAAACTTTTTGATTTGCACAGTTATTTACCTTTTTCAAATTTTAGTTTTTCAAGTTGTCTGAAAAAATCGGGCTAGATCCCCATTGACAAAATGTTGAAACACCTTTGAAAGTTCATTTGCTCTTACAAGGATCACAATTTTAATATTAACACAATCCACATGTCATTAAGCTCATCAAGTTACATTACAATAGTGTTTTAGGTTGATCAAAATGGAACTTGTGAGATCATGATATCAAAAGACTCTTGTAATACGCTTCCATGTATTCTGACCCTAGCAACTACCATTGCTGCCATATATATATTTCCATAAATATTTATAAAATGGTCAATTGGTTACATTATAGTGATGCATCCCCAGTTCCTGTTTAAGAGATGGCTCACATATGCTGGTGTATATTTTGAACTTTTTCAAAATTCGTAATAAATGTTTTAGACATATAGGTATAAATGTGATAATTCAACCACTAAAGAAGGAGCCATTTCGAAATTTGGCAGAAAACCTCTAGATGTCATTGAACTCATTCAAAACAAAAAAGCAATACTTTTGGACAAGGCCAATAAAATAAGCCAATTACCCAAACTTCTGAACATTATCTTTAATCTATAAGTGAAGGTAAATTGATGAAATACATTTGGACATGTTAAAGAGGTGACCATTTTTAGAAATTATTGTTATCTTTAAACTTAAAGATGTAAAAAACTGTAACCATAAAGGGCAAAAACATGTTTTCTTACAATAGTAAGAGAAAGCCATTTCGAAATTGTAAACAAAACCTTTGAAAATCATTGAGTTGACCTCTAAACTAAGCTACCTGTAATTTAAAAAGGGAACCTTGACAATTTCTAGCAGATTAATGGATTATTTTTGGAAACATAATTTTCAGCAATAAACTGGAATATCTTATCGACAGAGGTTTTAAAACGCCGGTTCACCATCGTTGACGGACAGATGGACGGCAGACGGACAGAGAGGAAGACAGCCAGACCGAAGACTAGACAGATAAATAGACAAACGTGTGACTGATTGTCTACCATGTTACCTTAAAGAAGAACGCAATTCCAAAATTAGAAGGTCTTTAGGCGTATGTGTTGTATCACCCTAGGCCTGTATATTATATACTTACAGATGTCCAAATTCATGACGAACCTCCTGATAGTGCTCGAAGAATCCCTTAAGGACACAGATATAGCTTGAAGCTCCTAGACCACACAAACCACCAGACCAAGCCCAACCCAAGGCCCCGCATATCACACTACAAATTAAAAGGAGTCTTCAATCAAAATGACCAAAAATATGCTCATGTAACAAGTAGGGCAATTGAACCGGTTGCTAAATTAACAGCACACAATAATAAAATCTAATAACTTAAAGAAAGTTTCTAACAATGTTCAGTATACATTATTTTTTTCAATGAAGATAAATCGGAACTGTGAATTCTTGAAAGTTTTGTGATTCTTCTTCTTGATATTGCCAAGGAATTTTCAAAAGTAAGTAAACAATTCAAAATTATTTAACTAAAAAAGTTGCATATTGGGTTCTGTCATTTCAAAAATATATCATAGAAGGAATAAGCTTCAATACTTCCAAGCATCTCACTTAATTTAGCAAATGTTAATATTAGGGCAGAAATGGGTAAGATCAGAAAACGTACGTGTCATGAAATGCCCCGATGTCCCACGTTTTCCTGTCTGGATGCTTTCGCATCCATCTTGAAGTTCCAAAATCCATACACTGCCAGGTGTAGTTATACCTATCCGTAACGTCACGAAGAAACTCTGGCTGCAAAATATAGTTAAAGCGTGCCCATTAGAATAACATAACCCAAATTGAAATCACACATTTTAAGTACATGCACAATATAATATGTATGTTTCTCATGAATTAAAATTTATTTTGTGCCGTGCTATGTTTGACATACATGCTGATGTGACGCATAAAAATAAATACCGGGGTGGTCTGGAAAAACTCTACTCTTGTAACTGTCACTTTAGCAGGATGCACCATCTTGGGGTCTCTCCATCTCGCCCCAATCTGAAATAGTGTCATATAAAGTAAGTTAATTAAATAATAGTTCCATAGATAGATCATTTCATCTAGTTCTAGCACTAGTTCACATCAGAAATTTATAAAGATAGTATGTACATGTGCGTCTATCATCAAGTTGTCAGTCAGTACAAAATAACTGGGAGAAATGTTTCAATCAATTTATATTGAATATATATTATAGATTCCATTAAGAAGTACGTATTTACGTTTTAACGTATTTCTGAAATGCGTGATTAAGAGATGTAATCAAAACATATAAGTTGCAATATGTAAAATTTTGAAGAATCGAGTCACCAATTTTGATGAAATTTTGGATATATTTTGTATTTCTTATGTTGACTGATCCTGACTCAATGTTTATAGTTTAGTTAGTATTAAATATGATTATCATACCGAGTTATATAGTACAAGGATGTAGCTTGTCATAAGTGAGAGGTCATTGTTGTACTTTGCTCTTATCACTTCTGTGCTCCGGCTTGCAAGAAAAACTGCAGTTTCAAAATTCACTGGTCTGTCTTCCATTGATTCAGCGCCTGAAACATGAAATAGCACTGTATGCGTCGCAGGATAAATATCTAAGTTGATATGACACACATTAATTTTGCCATTTCTTTATGTACCCGAGGCCCTGACTTAATAGTATAACTGTAGCACATGTTCAAATGGTTGCTGGGTGGTGTGGGACTCTTACTTAGAATTCATTAAAATAGAATTAAGACTCATGGGTACAGTGTATCATGAATCATCTTTACCTGCTTCACAAAGAAGTTTGAATGTGTTGCTAGAATCGTTACATGGTACTGCATTGAACATAAGTTGTCCATTTGATATGATCAAACTCAGACAACGTTTAGATGTATCGCTCATATCCCCAGCCATCGCACCAAGTCTTGCAGGCTACAATCATAATAAAATAATTTCATGTTAAATGAAACCTAATTTTATCCTCAATACGAACAGCTGTAATGACCCCACACATAACACATTCCCAATTTGTCTAAAAATGTTCTCAATACCCCCTAATTATATGCCTGATAAAAAGTCTGAGAGCATTCCCTCAATACAGATGGCATGCATTTGGCAAAAGGAGGTCACATATTTTTTATATAAGATCTAGCTACCTTGTTCCAGGCCCCTAGATCCCAGCCCCATCTTCTGGGAATATCCTGTCCTATCTCAGTCCCACTAGTCATCCATTCATCACTAGGAGTACCCTTGTTTTTCAACAGTTGTTCAATAAATATAGTCTCATTCTGGGAATCGATGCTGACCAATCTAATAAAACACAACAGGTATATACTGTAATATTTACACCAGTGAGAATGTCGCCTATAAGCTGAGCAATGTGTCATTCAGTTACCTAATTTGATAGTAACCGTATGTGTTGAATACGATATCTTAAATTTATTTCGCCATTAATTGTATGCTGTATGTAGTATAGCTCTATTAAAATTGATGATTTCAATGTTTACCTTGCTCCTAAATCTTCGCATGCATCTTCTGCAGCAACATGACTACCATACGTTTCAGAGGATTTTATCCAATAACAATGCTCTTCGAAGTAATGACCCCCCTCTTTCAAACAGGCTACAATAAAACAAGGAGGGACGTAACACGATTGACGAATAAAAGTAGAATTAAGAAATTAATTAATTAGAAAAGTAAAAGTATCATTAATAAATATGTAAAACTCGTAAATGCAAAACATTACCATCTTCTCTCATGTTTCGAAGACCCGCAAAATCTGAAAAAGGAATCGAGATATAGATGAAATATAAAACTAGTGAACATATTTTATAATTGCCATATCTGAGCTTTAATTAAAATCTTTATCTGTAAATTGCAATTGTCAGTAGAATTACGCACGAGAGCATCAACTGGTGGAAAAACGCAATAGGGTGTTTAAGCTTGTATACAATACTATAATGTTGTGGTCGAGTGAATCAAATGTCTTAATTTTTGAAAAAGATTGTATATACTCTTAGAGAACCTTACAGAAAGACATGTATATAGAAAACCATAATTTTGCACTATTTATTAGAGATTGAACTAATGGACAAATCCGAAATTCGTTTTTAATACGCAGACAAGAATATTTCATAATTTTTAGGATCTCATCATATTAAATTTGCAATTTAGAATATCATATTTCAAAAATACGTGTACACTTGCTATAAAAATCATATGCATACCATCTGCACACGTTGGTACAGCGCAGTAACTCCATCGACGTTCTTTACTAGTAGTATAACACCATGGCCCACCCGATTCCCCATCAGGATTGCTGTAAGGATTTTGGAAAGTGTTTTGGACGATTGCAACTACTATACAAGATAAAAGAGACGGAGACCATTCAAAAGATGGTGCGATATCAATGCAATGACCCCCGCATTTTTCATGGAAAGAAATGTTGTACAACTGGGAATTTGCCATCTGCTTATACTAGCGAATTTTATATGACAATTGTAAAATTTACTTACCGACAGTAATTGGATGCTTCGGAAAGGGTTTCATTATTTGGAAAATCATTATTATGTGAACTGCCGATATCATGACTCCAGGTTTCTTTGCTGTCCCATCTCTGGCATGTATAACCATCTGCTGTCTCACTCAGTGTACCTGAATATTCCTTGCCTTTCCTAGAGACCTTGCAGGTTTTGGCTGAAATTAAAGAAATTTTAGCTGTGCGCCCGGGCCTGTGTTTCGAGGAAAAACTATCCTATTTTGACGTAGATTAGTTTCCCATTATAAAAGTAGCAAAAACTTGTTTATGATTTTGTAATATTGATGACATAAGCAAACATAAATATAATTTATAATTTGAATGTCATGAAAATGAGTATAGTTTTCCAAAATGTACGTTCAATCGAAAAATTTAAAAAAATTATATCACAAGTGCATTAAATGTGAAGAGAAGAATGGAAATTGATGAAGCTTACCGGTTCTACAGGATAGTTCGAAGTAATTAATAACTTCGTTTCCAGCATTTCTTACAGATACATCGGTTTTGCTCAGTCTACACTGTTTGCTGTTTGTGTTAAAATCACAAGCTTTGCAAACAAAGGTGGTTTCTTTAAGGCACGCTGCCTTACAGCCATCAGTTGAGGATGTCGTGATTGTTTTATGAACTGGTCCTTTTAGAACAATCCCAGGTTTGCTTTCAAACACTTTGTCAAGACATACTGTAAAATATGTTAATATCACTAGTACGCGAAGCAGGGTATGCATGCACTGCCGTTCTACATTTGGCTTAAAATATGAGGATACGGTTCATAACTGATATTATCACGCTTTCGCGTTTTAACTTATCATAGAATATTCTATTTTGAAACAATGATTCATTACAGACTCTTTTATGCTTGACTTAATGTGACCCAGGCATTACATATTATGACCCATTTATGCACATTCGTTTTTAAAAGATTCAAAATAGGTTATGATCAAAAGATTAGAATAATTCATTTCAATTATCAAATAGCTGAATCTAAAATTGTTGGCTATTGAATTTTTACGGTTCGCATAAAATTAATGAGATTCAAGTCGGTATATTTAATTAAACTAAAGTGGCGTGACAGCGGCCCTGCTACACATGTATATCTACCTTCTTTGCTCGTAACAAGTTGATCTTGTGAATCTTGTAGAACTTTGTCTTTGTCTGCATCTCGTTTAGGCCTAACCACCAACTTCTCATGTTTGGCTATGTCAATCTGGTATATCACGTGATAGGAATTGTCCAATCCTCGCTTGTTGATTGAGGGCTCTCCTGTCACTGATGATGGTTCAATTGCACGTGCTGTACCATCGGTGAATTTTATGATTGCGATCTAAGTGAAATTGAAAGAGCATGGATTTAGCAATAGACCACAATAACACTATAGATATTTCAGTAATACAAAAAACTAATGCAAGGGTAATATTAAGTTAAGTTAAATTACGTGAAGTTGACACACAGCCATATTTTATATCCGTTTTGGTCAAAAATTGATGAAGAGTAGCCCATCCTAATATTTTATCTGGGCTTGTTTGCCTTGCTTTAAACAGTTCACGTACTGTCAAACATATTTTTGTTTTTAAATTGTTTTAAAATGATATTTAGAATGTTAATGAGGGCTGCCATTTTGAATTTATGATTTCAAAATGGCCGTCATGGCAGCCTTTTGCAAGCTTGTATAGGAGGATGTAATGATCCAATTATTCTGAAAGGTTTTGAAAACCGAACTCCCACGTATCTTATCTCTAAATACATGTAATGTTTTGAGTATGATATCTGGCATTTTCTCCTATACCTGATACTAAATTAAACTGTCTAAGCGGGCATTTTGCATTGAAAGTAGAAAAATAGAATTAAATTAAGGTAAATCGACATTCACAATTATTTTACATAGCTTTTCGTGATAATTCAAAATTATGTGAAATACACTTACTGTCTTTCCTCCGCATGTAGACATGCTTACTGTGCCAGTAGCTGTGCCTTTATCTGAAACAAAAATGATGAACATTGAACAAATCACTCATATAGTCGATTGACATACAAATATAGTCCATCACAATTATTATTTCGAAAGATCAATTAATCGACGCTATGGTTGATCTTTGAATGTAATGTCAATGACTTTACGCAGTAGCAATATTCTCAATACCCTCGTGTATTTTTTTAGATGATGGTCCGGAAACGTTGGGTTTCTCCTGACGGTTTTAATCTATTTTATATTATGAGGTTATATCATGGTTGATTCCGTATATCGTGTTTATACTCAAGTGAGTATATGATATATTCACGAGTGACTGAAGGGAACGAGTGAATATATCATATACTCACGAGAGTATAACGATATTCAGAATCAACCATTATATGATATTATTATCCCACCCTAATCTTTAATCAATAAAAGGTTAATCGAAATTCAGCAGTTGTACATATATCGAAGTCGAAGAGTTGTATACGCTGCCCAGGGGTTGTATACGTTATCCAGGAGTATATCGTTCTCAAGAGTTGTATACGATGAGTGTTGGTTTTATATTGCAGTTATACAATATAAATCATACAATCATATAAAGCACTTAGGGTGGGATAATTCTTCATATATGAAATTTATCACTAAATAAAATGTATTCGATACATTAGATTAGATCAAGAAATAGAAAATTAGTGACAGAACAAAAAGTATCTATGAAAAAAGAATCCCCAGCATCTACGAGTTAAGCCAACGACATTGGTACATTCATAGTTCATATAATATATATATTGGTACGTTATATATTGGAGTTATTCCGTGTGTGACAGGATGTCAAACCCTACTGTGGAGAGTTATATTTTTATGTATTTCAATTATATTTTCAAACCCTGCTAGGAGAATAGCTTTGATTTACACACAGTGTGCACATGCAAGGGGATTAACCTTGATTGCATTTACTTTCCAAATCACCAGTGCTAGCCTTGATTTTGAACTGTAAAGACATGGTAAGAAATTGTCATATATTTTTGTCACTTTTTACCCTTTAGAATATGCCAACATTATTGACAAGTTGACTCACACAGTTCAATATTAAATACATGCAATTATGCATCAGGTGATTTAGCCATGAACATGATTAAAATTTAGGGTCAGTATCCAGGACAAATAATTTGTACACATATTTTGCTTGTTGCCCAGCTCACATATTTGTTCTGTACCCTTGTCAGTGTACATTTATATTTTTGATTAGTAGCCTGGACATATATTTTATATTTTGTCTTTACAAATTCCACTGAACCTAAAGTAAACCAGGACATACATTTTATCTAGTACCAGGTTCATATGATTTGTCCAATAGTATTGGAGGACACAGGACAATCATTTTTGCAAATGAGTATCATTTTGTTTAGTAGCCTGGACATTTTTCTGATAGCCTTGCCATATTTGATGTCTTATATCCTTAACATTCATTTATAACCAGAGCTTATACTTTAAGAGAGTACCTCAGAGTTTATAAAATATTCTATAAAGTGTATATATTGTTTAGTGTGTGATGTGAATTGTTTAGTATCCCCGACAAAATATCACATATTTTTATCGCACGCTCGGATGTTATAATGTGATAAATTTTTCACCAATTTTAAGTGTGTTGGTTCACATTTTACGCGCCGATTCGCAAATCACTACGCTTTTTATACTTACGTCATTACTTACACAATTAATTACGCGGTTACTCACGTGATTACTTACGCAATTAATTACGCGATTACGTACGCGAAATAAAATATTTTTAAACCGTAATGGCTACTGGCGGAACAAAACCCAAGGATGCGATAGGAGAGGATGCGAAAAAGAAAATCGATGAAATGGCTGAAATCTTAGAACAAGAACAAAAGGAGGAGAAAGCTGGATTACTACAGATGATATCTCTGGAAAGACAACTAGCTGAACTTCAAAAGAAATACAATGTCGATTTGTTAGGCAACCCACCTGAAGCTGACAGTGATAACAGCAACACTGGACGAGACAATGACAACAATGAACCAAGAAACAAAGGTCTTCAAGGAAACTCAAAACTTCCAAAACTGTGTAAATACAATGGATCAAAGGGACAAGACATCTATGATTGGTGCGAGGATGCGAATATTGCAATCAGGAACATACGTGAGAGGGACCGAGTGGACTTCTTAATTTATCACCTTGACCCAATACCACGGAGAGAAGCTAAATACTTAGGCCCAAATACAACACCAGATGAAATCTTCAAAACACTTAAGAGAGTTTTTGGACGTCAAACCTCAGCACACAAAAGCTACACTGAATTCTACACAAGGAAACAAGACGCAACTGAATCCGTAGCACAGTTCACACAATCTCTGATGCAATGCATGGACAGAATTAAAGAAACACAGGAAACGGCCAATGCGAAAGATTTAATAGGACGCTTCACAACCTTCTGATATCTCTTGAACAAGACAAGAAGAGAAGATGGCCTGATTATATCAAAGAACTGACCTACTGTTATAACACAACACCACACAGTTCTACGGGATACTCCCCCTTCTTTCTGATGTTTGGTCGAGAACCGAGACTTCCCATATCCATTCAGCTAGGTGTTGACGATGTTGATACTTGTGACAAGGATAAAGAAAAAGAAGAACATGTTCAGAAAGAGAACAAAAGTTGGATAGTAGAACATGAAAGAATATTGAAAGAAGCACACACAAAAGCAGCAATGAAAATAGACAAAGAAGCAGACAGAAGAAAAGAAATCTTTGACAATAAAGCTAGAGAGACTGCTATAGAAATAGGATCAAAAGTTCTTACCAGGAAGAGAATACAAGGAAGAAATAAAATCCAAGATTCTTTTGAAGAAGACATATATACAGTTGTACAAAGGAAAAATGATGTTTACACGATAGAAAATAAGTATGGAGCGAGAAAAGCTGTAAACATAGTAGACTTAAAAGAAGTTCCACAGAAAGTAAGAGGAATAAAACAAAACAAACATGAAGATGTGCCTGAAACTGAGACGATCAGGAGATCAAAAAGATTAGCAGCTCAGAATGCCATGATGCAGACATGATGTCAGAAAAATTTAGATATATATTTTATCGCGTTTAGTGATTTGCGATAAGCGTTCTGTAATAAATGTTATTTTCTTAACTATTGTTCTATTTTAATAATTCAAATTACTGTTATATGTTACTGTTATTTATACTATAAAAGAAACACAATACATATATAAAAAGTTACTTTGTTAACAGAACATAATTTTATTGACTACCATTTTAAGGTAGTGGATGTTAATTAGGGGAGGATAATCCTTCATAATGGTATTTCATAATGTTATTTTCTATGTTCCACGTGTGTGTGACATTTTGTTGTTAGAATTTAATGTATTTTATAATTCCTGTGGTAGCAAGAGCAAGGATAATTTGGGACAAATTATGACGAGTCCGCGTGTGTGTGACAGGATGTCAAACCCTACTGTGGAGAGTTATATTTTTATGTATTTCAATTATATTTTCAAACCCTGCTAGGAGAATAGCTTTGATTTACACACAGTGTGCACATGCAAGGGGATTAACCTTGATTGCATTTACTTTCCAAATCACCAGTGCTAGCCTTGATTTTGAACTGTAAAGACATGGTAAGAAATTTTCATATATTTTTGTCACTTTTTACCCTTTAGAATATGCCAACATTATGCCAATTGTATTCATTTTATTCTCCATAACTTTATCTCCAATTTGATGTAAATATTATTTTGTATTTCAAATACTTTTGAGTAATTTCTTTGTAAAACTTGAACAATGTGTTGGAACAATTGTCCATAAGGTGATGTTCATTTCATGCACCTGTGCGTTATTCATTTACAATTAAAACCACCATCTATGTCATTTCATATGACTTATCTTGGTACACACGTTTTACAGGAGACACTGTGTGCGTACTAAAGATGTATGGCTAGCACTCAGAGACTGTATAGCTTATTTTATAAGGTACATTCCACATTTTATTTTATATTGCTCAATTGTAAACCTTCATGGTACATTTTGCATAAAGTAACTGAATTATATTTATATTTGGTAATTTCAATAGAGAAATGTATGTAGTGCGTCAAGCACAGTATAAGGGTTTTCTTGGGAACAGAATAAGGGCCCTTTAAGTCCCATAGCCCTTAGTACTAAGAAGTTTATCATAAAACTGTATGTTTCATTATTGTATTTTACCTGCTTTACAAACAGCTATTTGTACATTACTTTTATTTGCAGCTCTGGGGTACAAACTAGGTGCACAGCCTTAAGCATTTGTGGTTTTGGTCTTAAGTGAGTTAGTGATTTAGGTAGCTTGAATACAAGATCAGTTAGTGATTTAGGTAGCTTGAATACAAGATCAGTTAGTGATTTAGGTAGCTTGAGTACAAGATCAGTTAGTGATTTAGGTAGCTCAAGTATTAAGATCAGTTGAGAGATTTAGCTCATTTTTTGTATAACATTTTGATCATTTGATTGATTATAGGGTTGAATACATTTTAAATACATTTTATATTCTTATTCTGTTAATTCGATTTGTAATGTAACCCACGTCCACTCCCCCATGGTTACACGTGTAATGCCGTTTAACCTGAAATATTTCTGTAGCATTGCAATTAAAAATCATTTTCATTTTTCAAAAAAAGTTCCACAAATTTTAATTCCATATGGTTAAGACAACAAGTTCAACTTTTTTAGTACCTTTCCTCTAAGAAGTATTCAAATTTTTAATTCATGAAATGAATCTCTTATTTCAAAAACAATGTAAAATTCCCAAACTTTGGGATCGTGAACATATCACGCTTCTTCACTAATGTATGACAATAGTGAAACCTTGTCTGTGCATGCCAGTATTTTGTTCAATGCAAAACAATCCATTCGTTAATATTCTTAAAATGAGGGTATCCAAACACAAAGATGAAAATATCACGCCGTGCACACATGATCTAGCAGTTTAAAAGGCCCTATTTGAAGACCACAAAAGCCATTTTCCAACTCTTATTGAAAGTTCATGTTGTTCAATGTTGTTCACTAATGAAGATTAATTTCTAGCATATTGATAACAAGTAAGTGGTTACCTGTTGCAGATATGGAAGATCCTTCCAGAACAACGCAATAGGCTTCGGTATCAAGTGTAAATTGTACGGATTCGGTGTCATTGTCCGCCGTGTATATCACTTTTGTTGATTGCCCTGCACTGCGACGTCTTAGAGCCATCTTATGAGTCTCGGAAGCAGACTGATAAAAATACATCGTATTAGTATTAATTTATTTTCTTAAAAAATATTAGATACAAATGACATAACATGAAGTGGAAGATGACAACCAAGAATAAATCAACTCCATGTAATATACAGGGTGTCAAATAAATATGTTCTCCCCTCAACTTCCCCTCAGCATCCACAAAATGTTGCTTAACTTTTTTTCTCTGTATGATATCTGATCATGAACTGTTCTTTGGCACCTTAAAACTTGGCTCCATGGAGATACTCTGCATGAAGTGTCAGATGACTAGTTCAATTTTGTGCACAAAAGTTCTTACTCCTGAAATCAAGGGGAATATATTTATTTGACAAACTGTACAAAGAATCATACGAATTCAAGCTATTCTCATTTTTATTTTGATATAATTACTTAGTTTAAATAGAAGGATCCTGGGAGACAAGTAAAAGTATGTACCCGAATTGTCAGGAACACCGGTACTTTCTGGTTGAGGCTACCTGATTCCAGATCTCGTTTATGCTGTTCATGGAACGCATGTACATTATCATGTAGCAGATTGCCAGCCTCGTCAGTGAACTCTATATGTGCATCATAGAACTGAACACATTCCGCAACTGTGATAATCTGAAATTAAAAATTCAGTGTGTCTGTTTTCTTGTTATAGATATTGTGTCCAATATAATATTTGAATTGGACAAAAGCAACAACTTAATGAGAAAAATATATGCATATTCAAAGTACGGTTTGTAAAAAGTCTATTTTATGTAATTGTTTCTGTTAACATTTTTGTTTTTTAGTGCAATTGTTTTTTGTTTCTTTTTACCATTTTTTGAGAATGAAATGAAATATCTTTCCGAAGCTTGTTTGAACAAAATAGCATATAAAACATTTTCCTCGACTTCCCAATATTATAGTTGTGCAAAGGAAATTTTGGTTGATTTATCGAAAAGTATTAAAAAATTAAAACAAAAAACCCCGAAAGATAAAAACTAAGATATACCTTTAATTTCATTAACAAGATACTTTTTTAAATCAACCATACTTTCTTTTGCATAATTACAATATAGAGAGTAATAAACACGTTGTGTATATGTCATTTTGCTCCAATGAGGTTCGGATTGATGTTTCATTTCATTCCGAACATATGATACCAAGAACAAAAGAAGTGCCCGATGTGTTTTTTAAAAACAATATAGAGAAGAGGATATATTATCCATTTCAAATTATATTGTTACCATTCAAAAGATAACTATTAAATTGACAATGTGTAAATTTTTCAGAATTGTTAGATGACTGAGAGAAACGTGTGTTCAAAAAGTTCGCCATATCGATCCCATCCTTTTGAAAAACTATTTACGTTTACTTACCAGCGCAATGGAGAGAATTCCCAAGTTTAGTACTTGTAGTCCCATCGTGGAGACCTACCCTGGCTGCTGTCAGTCGTGGATAGGATGAATATTTAGGAGATGCATTATTTAAAGCAATCGGAAGAGAAATTAATTGCCCAACCCCCATGATGAACTGACAAATAGCAGGATATTAGTTTTATATATTTTTTAATATTTCTTTAGATACTGGGTACACGTCTGTTATGACAGTAAAAATTAAAAAAACTCACAATATGTTCTGCCTTATTACGCGGGGCCAATTATTGTCATTATGATTATTATATAGTTTTATCATACTTGTGATATTTTGAATGGCTGATGAATTGGCGATTAATATCACGCCATGTCCTGTTTAGTATTTGGTTCAATGATCTACTAGAATTATATAACTCAAATAGATTGTTTTTATTACTGAGCTTGGTCAATTAGTCTTCGAGATGATGTAAAATTCGTCTAGGCAAAGATAGATAAATATAGAGTCATAAAATAAAGCCAGTATTGTTCATTTGCGTTTTTTATTGTTTGTCAAAAAGCGCTATTCAAAGGCCCGCTCAATAGGGAAAACCTACGCTAAATTAAATCTAAGCATGTTTGCCAAATTGAATTCTGTGTTTCATCTTATTTAATCACAACATGAGTACTTCTTCTAGAGTGAAAAAGCATTTCAATTGTGCAATTTTGATGAAAGAAAAATAGCAAAGATAAACAATTGTGCAATTATGGCCTCCTTTTAATGACTATACAAATGTTACATCTTGAAGACATGTAGGCATGTAGGCCTACGAGTGCGTAAATGCATCTACTTTACAGCATATAGACGGAGATTGAATAATATTAATATTTTAAAGGTTGAACCCTTCAAAGACTGTTTCGGGGGCCACAAATGTGGCTTCGTGGGTAAGAGGTACGAATTTCTATACAAAGCCTAAAATGTACCATGTGGGATTTCTTTTGATGAAGTACCAAGCAACCACCTGGGAAACAATGTTCTGTGTCAAAGATGACACAAAAGTTAGCTAGCGGGGTGTTGAAGGGCAAACAGATCAAGTTTATTGCATTTGGTTGACAAAATTGAAAAAGTATGCACATTTTGGATTATCTATGGCAGAGTGAAGTGGGTAAAGTTGGCTGCATATTGGTATTGGGATTGAGATTCAAAATGAGCTCATATTTGTATTGGTATTGACATTCGACTGCAATTGCAGCAGAAAAGTCATCTTTCTTCGCTAGAATGATATAAACAACCATATTAGGATTCATATTAGTATTCGTATTAGGATTCAAACATAGTTGGTGAATCCTAATACGAGCTCATAATTGTATTGATATTGATATTCGACCACATTTGCTGTAGAAAAATCGTGTTTCTTCGGTATTGTGATATAGATAACCATATAAGGATTCATATTAGTATTCGTATTAGGATTCAGACATAGTTGGTGAATGCTAATATGACTTATATTTGTATTGGTATTGACATTCGACCACCTTTGCTGCAGAAAAATCATACTTCGTCGCTATTGTTAATTTGTTATATAGATAACCATATTAGGATTCATATTAGTATTCTTATTAGGATTCAAACATAGTTGGTGAATGTTAATATGAGCTTATATTGGTATTGACATTCGAACACCTTTGCTGTAGAAAAATCATCCTTATTCGCTAGAATTATATAAACAACAATATTAGAATTCATATTAGTATTTGCAAACAGAGTAATCAAATCCTAATGTGAGTTCATATTTGTATTGGTATTGACTTTCGACCACCTTTGCTGCAGAAAAATCATACTTCTTCGCATAGATAACTATATTAGGATTCATATTAGTATTCGTATTAGGATTCAAACATACTTGGTGAATCCCAATATGAGCTCGTATTTGTATTGGTATTGACATTCGACCACATTTGCTGCAGACAAATCATCCTTCTTCGGTATTGTGATATAGATAACCATATTAGGATTCATATTAGTATTCGTATTAGGATTCAAACATACTTGGTGGATCCGAATATGAGCTCGTATTTGTATTGGTATTGACATTCGACCACATTTGCTGCAGATAAATTATCCTTCTTCGGTATTGTGATATAGATAACCATATTAGGATTGATATTAGTATTCATATTAGGATTCAAACATACTTGGTGAATCCCAATATGAGCTCGTATTTGTATTGGTATTGATATTCGACCACATTTGCTGCAGACAAATCATCCTTCTTTGGTATTGTGATATAGATAACCATATTAGGATTCATATTAGTACTCGTATTAGGATTCAGACATAGTTGGTGAATGCTAATATGACTTATATTTGTATTGGTATTGACATTCGACCATATTTGCTGTAGAAAAATCATCCTTATTCGCTAGAATTATATAAACAACCATATTAGGATTCATATTAGTATTCGTATTAGGATTCAAACAGAGTAAGCGAATCCTTAGGTGAGCTAATATTTGTATTGGTATTGACATTCGACCGCATTTGCAGCAGAAAAGTCATCCTTCTTCGCTAGAATAATATGATCCATATTAGGATTCATATTAGTATTCGCATTAGGATTTAAACAGAGTAAGCGAATCTTAATCTGAGCTCATATTTGTATTGGTATTGACATTCGACCACATTTCCTGCAGAAAAGTCATCCTCCTTCGCTAGAATTATATAAACAACCATATTAGGATTCATATTAGTATTCGCATTAGGATTCAAACAGTAAGCGAATCTTATTCTGAGCTCATATTTGTATTGGTATTGATATTCGACCACCTTTGCTGCAGAAAAATCATCCTTATTCGCTAGAGTTATACAAACAACCATATTAGGATTCATATTAGTATTCGTATTAGGATTCAAACATACTTGGTGAATCCCAATATGAGCTCGTATTTGTATTGGTATTGACATTCGACCACATTTGCTACAGACAAATCATCCTTCTTCGCTAGAATTATATAAACAACCATATTAGGATTCATTTTAGTATTCGCATTAGGATTCAAACAGAGTAAGCGAATCTTAATATTAGCTCATATTTGTATTGGTATTGACATTCAACCGCATTTGCAGCAGAAAAGTCATCTTTCTTCGCGAGAATGATATAAACAACCATATTAGGATTCATATTAGTATTCGTATTAGGATTCAAACATAGTTGACGAATGCTAATATGAGCTCATATTTGTATTGGTATTGACATTCGACCACATTTGCTGCAGAAAAATCATCCTTCTTCGCTAGAATTATATAAACAACCATATTAGGATTCATATTAGTATTAGGATTCAAACATAGTTGGTGAATGCTAATACGAGCTCACATTTGTATTGGTATTGACATTCGATTACCTTTGCTGCAGAAAAATCATCCTTCTTCGCTATAATTATATAAACCGCCATATTAGGATTCATATTAGTATTAGGATTCAAACATAGTTGGTGAATGCTAATATGAGCTCATATTTGTATTAGTATTGACATTCGACCACATTTCCTATAGGAAAATCTTGTTTCTTTGCTATTGTGATATAGATAACCATATTAGGATTCATAGTATTCGTATTAGGATTCAAACATAGTTGGCGAATCCTTATATGAGCTCATATTTGTATTGGTATTGACATTCGAGTACATTTGATACATAAACATCAACATTCATTGGTATAATGATATACTTAACCATATTTTGATTCATATTAGGTTTCATATTTGTATTGGTATTGACATTCAAGCTCACTAGCTGCTGGTCATTTTGAATCCCAATCCCAATACCAATATGCAGCCATCTTTACCCACTTCACGCATTTGGTTGACAAAATTGAAAAAGTATGCACATTTTGGATTATCCATGGCACAGTGAATAATGAACGTAATTTGCATCTTTTTTGGTACCATAAAGACGAACTGAAACATAAAGAAGATTGCGTCCTACATATTATACTAGATCACCCTATTCGTAGTGATCGCACCAATTTTGGATGGCAGTGGTAAAAACGAGCCACGACGACTAAAAACATAAAATATTATAAAAATATGACTTAAAATCATGGTACTAATCTTTCCTAAGTCGTATTTTTACTATGTACAGTGTAGCACATGGTGTTCATTAGACTTACACTGTAGGCTATATATCAGATTCTATATGCTGTTTTAGGAGTGGAAAATAATAATTCTGCATGCAATGTATTTTCAATGTAATCAAACTATGATGCTAATATTGTCAAAATGTCGATATTCCTGATCGACGACGCGTGGTACATACACGGATATGTTTTATGTCTTTATACACACGGGTATTAAGCCACGATGATACCACGAGCACATGCTTTGAGGATCCACGTTGTTTGAACCTACCGCCGAGCTCACTTATACATTAAGCCCGTTACACAGTCATGATACCGCCGAGTAAGCTCATTGCATCATCGGGTCTGCTTTACCCCGTGTATACGTGAAACGATGCGGTCTACGCGGTCAATTGAGACACATTTCAGAAGTTATTCCAGTTTTGGCTGGGTCTGTTTTTGGTCTCTGGTATAAAGTATATACTTTCCGATTGATATGTTTCACAGTGAAGAAAACCTAAGATTTATTTATATCATTTTACGTTTAGGAACAACATCGGAAGCGATTCTTACATATTCATCGAAAATATAAAATCTGCATCCTTTATCACAAAAATAACAAATATGGACGTTGTTTAAGACCCACCCTATATGATGAATGAAGTTCAATATAGCACATTGGTTCTGTATTCATGTTTATCACGTCTCCTGTGCCCTGTCGTGCCTTTCTGATGATAACGTTTTGTTTTCTACAGCAAATGGTGGTAAGACTTACTTTTACGTCTTCACACACCAACCAAGTTTCATTCAGCCTAAAAGACCAGAGTGCGTTGTGTCCACACACTTTGATGATGTCTACTTCATGTTTGGTACTGGATTCTTGGACATCTGGGTAGACGAAGAAAGGGGCTATGTATTTAACGAAGCTGAACAGGAATTTAGTAAACAAATGATGCGATACTGGGCCAACTTTGCAGCAACAGGGTACGGCTGTTAATTCATGAAATCTTAGTGATTGATTTACGATTTTTTCATTCATCTGAAAAACATATGTTTCATCAATTTATCTCATCATGCGCATTTCATCATATTTTTGTATTGCACTTCTAGAAATCCAAATGGCGGGGATCTTCCACACTGGCCGGAGTATGACTTGGAAGAAGAAGAATTTGCGATATTAAAACCAAGGATGTCTCGTTCACAAAGGTTTTCCCAAAGTAAATACCTATTTTGGAAAAAATTTATGGCAGGTGTAGAGAAGCAAATATTAAAAGCTAAAGAACAGATACAAAAAGATGAACTGTGAAAAGATATGATAGACGATTTGCTTTGATTTATACAGTTATGTTATTTGAATAATAATGTCAATATTTCTGGACATACACATTTTTCTTAAACTTTTATTTCAAGAGATAGACGTCCTTGATATCAACTAGATAGATCATTTCCAGACAACAAAAATGTCAAAGTTGGGGTAGGTTTACCACTCCGATTTAGTATTACATTTTACTAAATAGTTTACATCTAATATTTGTAGGACCTTTAGAGGAATGCACATCCTGAATTTCACCAAAACGGTTGATTTGTAGTTAAAACACTGACCTTCTTTGATGACCTTGACCTTAAAAAATTATATTTTAGACCTCAGTAGATCTGTTGTAATTAAGCTGACCTAATTTGAATAAAAAAAGTCAGTTTGAAAAATCAGCTTTCTGACCTATCGAAGGTCAACCAAATCTCACTAATCTAAGGTCAGATTTTCAGGGTTCGTACACCTTTTTCAAAATGAAATATCCTGACATTTCCAGAAAAAATGAAATTTCCAGATCTAGTTCTGTGTGCACGGCCTACTAAAAAGTCTCGAACAACTGTATTATTTGAAAGACAAGACCTATTATGAAACATTTTTGGTTTCTCCCTTAGTACCATTTCTCATGACTTAACTTTACTTCTACAGGCCGCCTTATTCACAAATTATTCCTGATACATTATATTTTTTATTTTACATACCATATCGTATTTTGCATTATAAGACCAAAGGCATAGCCAGCAAATGTCAAGGGGGTGCTATTTGGGGGTTGCACCACCACAAGCGAAGCGAAACCCAAAAGGGAGTAGTATAGGGGGGTTCACCCCCAGAAATTTTTGAAAATTTACATTGTATATGGTCCATTCTAAGCAATTCAAACTATAATTTGTTAATGTTTTGGAATGAATCCAAATGACAACTGAAACTTCAAAATTTTGATCAAAAATAGAAAATACCAACTCCCTTGAGAGCAGAGGGGCAATTTCCACCTTATGAAACATACCTTATCGAATACTGATCATTGTGGACATTATCTGATAGCAACCTGGCATTTTTATTGTCTTTTCCCTTTTGGGAAAATCTACACCAAAATATATACCATATTAGAAACTCCTTCTCGAGTAGCGTCACTATAAGGCACAGGACTGTGATGCCAAATTAAATAATCATTTTTTGTGGCGAAAGATGGTGAAAGCGTCTTTTATAGAGGCCCTTTATAACCAAAGCATTGCTATATAAAATATGAACAAAATCTGTCAACTGATATTTGAGTTATGAAAGATGGACAGAAAAATAGAGTGACGGCTTCTTAACATAAATAGTTTTACACCGAAAAGAGAAATCCCGGATTTTTTTTTTGATTTTCACCTTCCATCCTCCTCAGATTAACCCCTCAACAAAACATGAAACATATACTGGTAATTAACTTTATGGCCCAAGACTACCTTACTTCATGGAAAAGCATAATTGTATTGAAACATTTATACATATATTTATATTCTTTATTGTTCGGTTTCAGAACAATGTTCACACTGTTCTTATAAATAGACAAACAATACCAGTAAGAATCTCATTCAATCAACCCCAATGAAAAGTTTTCCAATTTGTGGAAACAACTAAATGTTAAATTTTGGATTTCATTGATATCCTGTCATAGTCCCAAAATGTATTTTGCTAGAACATTATTTTTTCTGAAACAAAATTCCCTGACATTTGCCTGACATATCTCATGTTTCAAAATTCCCTGACATTTTTGGCCCTTTTTGATCAAATTTTAAAATTCCCTGACATTTCCAGCACCTTGAAAAATAAATCAATTTCCCTGACATTCCCCGGGGTGTATGAACCCTGATTTTTAAAAAATGGTCAATTTGAAGCAACTTGAAAGTCGGTCTCCGCGGAACTGCGACATTTTAAATATTATCCAGCTTATTTTTCTAAGTTGGCGAGTAATCTAAAAAAATGCATGACCAAATAAGGTTGCAGATTTAAGTAGTTATGTTAATAATTCACATATCAAAGAAAAACACTATTTTGAGACGAATCAATGGTTCTTTTATTCAAATATGCTTTACAAGACATTTTCATTAGTCCAGTTTTGTCATTTTATTACTGTCAATTTGCGGCAAAGTCCTTCCACACACACTGATTTGATTCCTTTCTGTTTATGGAAACCACACGGGGTTCCATCAGGGAATAAGGCAGCTCTCCAACGCCGACGGTAATTGGTGTTACAGTTTACGTCACAAAGCTCATCTCCTGTAAAGATATATCACACCATCAGCGAGGCAATTTGAATTTATCAAAAATTATCACACACGTACAGAAATAAAGATAAATCATAAATCAACTGCATGAATTGGAATGAATCAGAAATATGAAGCTTACCCCCACATTGTGGTATCCAGCATGGTATTAATTTTTCTTTCTTGTTTAAACACCTCGCAAGTCCCCATAGACTCCCCCGTCCAAGGGGATTTCTAAAACATTGAATTACGAGACACAATCTAAGTAAAGTACCTTTTTAACACGTACATCTTGTTTTACATTTGAAAATATCACTAATCTATGTCTAACATAATTACGGTCAGTTCAATGAATAGGATATACTTTTTCAACAGAATCTGATTTGAGATAATTTCTGAGAACAATATATCTATGAATTGCCATAGGCTATACATATACGAAATATAGTGTGTCTTTCTTGCATGTATCTAAATGGAAAATACAGGGTGACCCAAAATGGCTATTGGCAATTTTGCGTACACACAATCAGACACCCGAAATCAGAAATCACCGCAAATATCAAAGCTATCCCAAGAGTAGCGTGTTCACGAAATTGACAACTTCGCGCATCGCATTCAGGAGTGGCTGCGACGTCGAGGTGGTCATATCGGAGACATTTTTGAACGGCCATAAAAGACGGACAATTTGAATGACAAGACCAAAACTTGAGGACTTACGTATTTGTCATCACCTTAGCTTGTTATGAATGAAAAGTGAAACATTTATCTTATCGGTTATAGTAAAAACAAGAACATTTATGGGTTCCATTCATTTTGTGTCAACAAAATTATTTTATAGCTATAACCTTAAGCTTCAGAAGTATAGTCTAGTAAATGGAAATATAAGTGGAATGATAGATATAAATGGCCGACCTAGAGTGCAAATTGAGACAGTGGTAAAGGAGGGGAGAAATAAACACATGGGATGGAGTCGGTCTCCCGAATTTCAATAACGTTCAATGATGACACTCTTATCTGTTAAATATTATCGAATTGAACACGCCATATGAAGACACATAAACCAATTCATATCCAAAAACATAGTAGTATGCCATTTACATACAGACTGACGTTATATGTACAAATCCTCTCAATGCTTTATTGTTTTAGATGAAGCCTATATGTTGAGCGAAACTTCTCATACTGTAGTGGTATTTAATCCGAGTGGTTAATTTTCCGAATGGTCAAATCTCATCGACAATATTTCCGACATTTAATTTTCTGGCAAAAATTAGGAAATAGGCAAATTAAATGATTAGGCAAAATTACCATTTATACAGTATACATCTCACTACAATATCCAATCATCACTGATAAACTGCCAGTTTACTTATCATATATCTAAAGATGTACAATTCACAAATAGGACATCAACACTTATAAAAGTAAAAGATAAAATAATGTTGACCTTTCATGGTTTGAATGCATTTATTTTAACGAATTAAAATCATACCTGACATAATCATAACAATAATTCATAGGTACCTGCAGTGGTTCTCGGCTGCTGAGACATTTGCATCGTAAGGGAAACGCCAATCTTCATTTTTCCAGTTATCAAAACTGTCCCATCGAGCACATTCTTCATTTCCCCATGTCCTGCTTTTATTCCCAGTATAAGCAAGGCCATTTACTCCAGGCAAACAACCACCTTTAGGTAGAATATTATGATAGTATAAAGATATAGAATATGGGCATGTGGCAAATTACATTATACGATGTGCGCATCCTTGGACTAGGGTTTATCAAACCCTTGGTTTCACGCCCGGTGAAAATGGGATTGAGGGTTGGCGGAGTCAATTTCTGCTGGAACATTCAAAAATCTCGAAGATTTATTTTTTCAAAAAAAGTTTACAATTGAATTCCTGAATGAATAGGCAAACGATATGATAAAACATGTTAGGTCTTTTACGATCTCTTTTGAACCGATACGCTTCTAAGATATGGGATCTATAAAACGGGCCACAAATGTGCACAAGTTAATGTTTTTGCTGTAAATCACGCAATAATGGTCTACACGACCTGTAATAAAAACGTGTAAGTAACATTATCATAACTAAATTAATGTCATTGCTGACTTTATAGAATAAGTTTCCAAACATTATCTAAAATAGTCGAAAATGATTAAAATGGGACGGAGGGGGGGGGGGCGGAGGGGGAGCAATGTATATAAGAGATGATAAGATATGTGAATTGACTTTAAGTCATATAACTCCAAATTTCCCCATTTTCAATTCTTCAGAGATGTAAGATCCAGTTATTTACTGAGTTCATTTTTCAAATACAAGAATTTATGAAAAGTTGTTTACTTCATAGACATTGCTCCCTCCTCCGTCCCCTCCCCCTCAAAATAAAAGAATAAAACAACTGTTGTATATGGAATTCTACAGTAGAAAATTAAAAGTAAGCTGTATATAGTACAAAATACAAAGGTTAACAATGAAGTTAATGTACTACAAGATGTATTTCAAAGTTCAACAAGGCACAGGACGTGAACGAGATCACACCATCAAATAGGCAGACACTATGAACCAGGAAAACTGTTCTCCTATTATGTTTACAAATTTCAAGAACAAGAAAACAAGATGGCCGCCCAAAAGTTAATCAGCTCTACTTGATATCCTCTATCATTTGTGTAAATTTGAAGGAAATCCGAGGAGCGGTTTTCCTGAAATGGCGATGACAAGATTTTTCGAAAAACCTTCAAAATGGCCACCAGAAAACAAGATGGCCGCCCAAAAGTTAATCAGCTCTAGTACTTGATATCCTCTATCATGTGTGTAAATTTGAAGGAAATCCGATGAGCGGATTTTCTGAAATGGCGATGACAAGATTTTTCGAAAAATCTTCAAAATGGCTGCTAGAAAACAAGATGGCCGCCCAAAAGTTAATCAGCTCTAGTACTTGATATCCTCTATCATTTGTGTAAATTTGAAGGAAATCCGATGAGCGGTTTTCCTAAAATGGCGATGACAAGATTTTTCGAAAAACCTTCAAAATGGCCACCAGAAAACAAGATGGCCGCCAAAAAGTTAATCAGCTCTAGTACTTGATATCCTCTATCATGTGTGTAAATTTGAAGGAAATCCGATGAGCGGATTTTCTGAAATGGCGATGACAAGATTTTTCGAAAAATCTTCAAAATGGCTGCCAGAAAACAAGATGGCCGCCCAGATGTTAATCAGCTCTAGTACTTGATATCCTCTATCATTTGTGTAAATTTGAAGGAAATCCAATGAGCGGTTTTCCTGAAATGGCGATGACAAGATTTTTTGAAAAACCTTCAAAATGGCCGCCAGAAAACAAGATGGCCACCCAAAAGTTAATCAGCTCTAGTACTTCATATGCTCTATCATCTCTGCGAATTTGGAGAAAATCTGATGAGCAGTTTTCCTTAAACGGCGATGACAAAAAGCGGGACGATCACGATCACGATCACGACCACGATCACGACCACGATCACGATCACGACCACGATCACGACCAGTATGACGACTATATCCCACCGATGGTGTGATAAAAAGACTTCTAACGCTATTAGAATTGAATGACAAATTCCACACTAATATTAATCTTTTAGACTATTTGAGTCTAAAAAACACTATTCCAAAATCTTGGCACACAATGTTCCCCACCAAAAAGACTACTGAAACGCACCATCTATGAGTTACAATTTGGGCCTTTGCTAATCTTGCCACTAGACCATCAATGACAAGAAAAAGTATTGGATTTATATTTGAAAAGTTCGGCTCTCTAGAAAATCCACGGAGGGGCCACTTCCGTACCAACATTTTGTCGGTTCTCTATCTGGCCCATCGCCAGTGACGAAATATGTCGGTACGTCAGCAAATGGTCACTCACTGGGTAGACAGTCCGTTTAATTAATATAATATATAATTACATTTTGAGAATACTTTCAATATAAAAAGTAGGTTAAGCATTTATTTAAACATTACAAATATGCAACATCATAAAATCTTATTTTTCAAAAAGACTTCAAAGTATTTTATGCGGATGCATAGACATTAGTCACTTTCACAAATACGTTTTGAACTCGAAGGGAAACAACCTTAACGCTTACCTCCACGATGCCCGTCATTAAATTTGGTTCGTTTCCCACCGAATCCAGCCCACATATACTCGGCAAATATGGTGTTTCCTGTTAAATCTGTAGGGTATTTATTGCATATTTTCGTCCCTATATCTACGACGTGTTGTTCCAATTCGTCAACTGTTGTTGGTCCATTTTGGCAATCCTAATATACGGAAATCAATGGAATAAGGAATACAATATCATATGACTAGCCGTCCCCTATTAATATGACGGGAAAGGAGGGGGGGGGGTTGAATGTAGAATGAACCAGGGTTTTCATCTAGAAAAACAGTTTATTGACTTTCCATATAAACCAAAACAACACCAATAGGGTGTACTGTATTAAATATTTACTTTCCTGTTATCTCAAAATCTGCTTGGAAATGTACCATTGGATTACACAATTTGAGAAATTATTGGCATACATGAAACCTATTTAAAACAGCATTTATTATTGCGAATATTAAAAGCGAATATGATCAACGATTCCGAGTCCTCTGAAGTTAAAAATAATAATAAAAATACCTGGGTGTTAATCCATAGTTAATCCTTGAAAATGAGAAATATTTTTGGCGATTTAGGGTCAATCTTAAAGTCAATAAAATGTTTTTGTAAAACATAAGTGAATGTTTGAAAAACTCCCCCGATTCATTCTACAAACAACTCCCCCTCCATCCCTGAACCAGGTTACTTTTTCGAAAAATAAATGGAAAACTGGAATTTGAAATTAACTTTTAAAAAAGGAGAGAGACTGATTATATTTTGGGCAAAAAAACATTAAAAGAAGATAAGATTGTGCATAAAATATATATCGGGTGTCCCAAAAAAAACGTCCCGCTTTTTGAGCTCTTATAACTCTGCAAGATATTAACCAATTCATTTGAAATTTATCAGGGAGTAAGATAAGGATATTATCTATAAGTTATCAAAATATTAAATTAATCGGATGTACATTATGTGAGTATTACCAAATACAAGATAGCATAGCAAGAAATGTAATATCGGAGGACAACTCATTTAATTCACCTTATAATGTAGATTGATGAGCATCGCCAAATACATAAGTTTAACAGCATAAGATAAAAAGTTGGTACAGCAAAAGATCGACAACTCACTTATATGTTAAAGGAAAAAGAAAAACAAGATGTCGCAATTTATATGATCGTTATTCATCCGCAGATGTCAAGAAGATCATTTTCACTGATGAGAAGGACTTTTCTCTTGAAGTGCCCAAAAATCGTCAAAATGATCGGCTGTATGGAAAGCGTAAACGTCAAATTCAACCATCACGTCTTTACCATGAAACTTCACGTTATCCAAAAAGATAATGGTTTCTGCAGGAGTATCCTGGAAGGGGAAGACGGACATTTATTTCATTAATACTGACAAAGCCAAAGTCAACAGCGAAAGCTATATTAAGTTATTAGATGAAAATCTGCTACCTGATTGTAGGAGGATTTACCCTAGAAATGACTATGTGTTTCAAGATGGGGCCCCTTCCCACACAAGTGGGGTAACTCATGCGTATCTGGAGATATCCACCACAGCATTTATCAAAAAGGTTGAATGGCCTCCACAAAGTCCAGACTGTAATCCAATGGATTACTCTGTTTGGGATCCTCTAAATCAAAAAGTTAACAGTGGTATGAGGGATAATTTTACAGAACAAACATTAAAAGAGAGAATAAGTGCGTCATGGCAGGAGATATCACAGAATGAAATCAAGAGCAGTATCTATGTATGGAAGAAACGACTTCGTTTAGTTGTGAAGGAAGATGGAGGCCACATTGAGCACAAGTTATTAGATAAGTGGGTTGTCGATTTTTTGCTGTACCAACTTTTTATCTTATGCTGTTTAACTTTTGTATTTGGCGATGCTCATCAATCTACATTATAAGGTGAAATAATTGAGTTATCCTCTGATATTACATTTCTTGCTATGCTATCTTGTATTTGGCGATACTCACATAATGTACATCCGATTAATTTAATATTTTTATAGCTTATAGATAATATCGTTCTCTTACTCCCTGATAAATTTCAAATGAATTGGTTAATATCTTGCAGAGTTATAAGAGCTCAAAAAGCGGGACGTTTTTTTTGGGACACCCGATATATACAGTATTTACCGCTGTTTGACAAAGTTTGGCTTCAAAGTAATCTCCGTCACATTTAGTGTTCTTTGGTCTGGAAAATAAGGAAACATACCACTTAATTGGAATTGGTTGATTAAAAAGGCATAACATGTTTGGTTAAATATTATATGGACTATACTGATATATATTATATAGTACCCCACACACAATTTTGTCGCCTACTTTGATGTATTGTAGAAAAATATCCAAAAAGAGTTTGCTTATGGAATTTGGCATACTTTAACTTGAAACATTTTGTGACACTCAAATTTTTTTATTTGAAAATTTAAGTAATATTGACGAAAAACAAGCAATTTTAAAATATTCATGTTTTAACAAAATTCGACGAAAAATTCCAGTTTTGCAGTTTCAAAAAGAGTTTAAATCATTTTAATTACATTTTGATTACAAACTTATTGCATTACATATGGTTCGTCTGTTCTCTTAAGATATTGTTACTATGTGTTAGAGATTTAACTCCTAAATAGGAATATTGTAAGTGTGGTTTTATTATTGTTTAAGAGTGAAGATCCCTATTAATACTTTCAATACATGGGTAGGGGCATGTATCATATGATTTGTTGGCTTTAAGTCTAAAAAGGTTTATCAGTGCACTTAGAGACATCCCTGCGTGGATTTCTATCCCATCCTACCACTACAGCATTTCCAATAGCTCGCATCTCATAAAATCTCAAGTAAATGCTTGTATTTTGTTTAAGTCATGTAAGGCATTATTAACAGTGAGCTTGCACTCTTCAAAAATTTCGGAGACCATATTCGTCCAATGACTCACAGGTGGCCACCGATCACTTACCTTTTGTTGGACAACATGAAATTCACAAGGATTTAACATGTGACCTTTCAGGGGTAACATCATAACATTGTAACATTATAACAGTCACTCCTGCTTGGTTCAGTTTTGCTTTTCACAGCAAAAAATGTGAATCAAACCACTGAATCCTGGAGTCAGGATTCATACAGGATTCATATGCACATATGAATCCTGTATGAATCCTGCCTCCAGGATTCATACAGGATTCGCTGTTTAAATAGTTTACAAATGAATCCTGCCTTCAGGAATCATACAGGATTCATATGCAATATAGTTTACAAATGAATCCAGCCTTCAGGATTCGTACAGGATTCATATAGAAGGTAGTTTGCAAATGAATCCTGCCTTCAGGAATCATACAGGATTCATATGCAATATAGTTTACAAATGAATCCAGCCTTCAGGATTCGTACAGGATTCATATAGAAGGTAGTTTGCAAATGAATCCTGCCTTCAGGAATCATACAGGATTCATATGCAATATAGTTTACAAATGAATCCAGCCTCCAGGAATCATACAGGATTCATATGCAATATAGTTTACAAATGAATCCTGCCTTCCTGAAGGCAGGATTCATTTGCAAACTACCTTCTATATGAATCCTTACATCGTACGTATCTGGATTTCGTTCATAATTGATTAATCTGTTAATGCGTTCCTCTAAGTAAATGAAACAATCATCACATCGTGTTTATAAGTGTAATTCAAGGGCGTATAATCTAACATGTCTAATGCTACTCATTTCATGGTATTACTTTCCGATCATTTGATAAAATAGAATACAATCAACATGTGGAAATCACGGATGACGGGAAAAACAATATTGTATAAATAGAATATATTTTAATAAGAGATTCGTAATGTAAGAGATTCGATATTTAACAGATATTTAGAATGAATTGCGACATTATATTCCAAATTCATGAATAAACTGTACGTATCTGGATTTCGTTCATAATTGTTTAATGGTTCCTCATAGATAGTAATAAAGTCATCACATCGTGTTCATTAGTGTTAATTCGAGGTTGGATAATGTTTTTATAATATGATGTTATAATTTTACATTTTATTTGTGTGTCTGAGTGAGGCTAAATTGAAAGTAAAACCTGTATAATCAGACGGGCAAATCACGATGAGGACAAATAATTATTTAAATTAGTAAGATAAGTCTGTACATGTAGATTGTTCGTTGAAGTTGGACCGTCGGTGACTTTTATTCCTAGATTTCGTATCCCTCTCAAACAAATAAGTCAAAGCCAAATATAGTTGAACTGTTTTCGGGATTATTATTCATTTGTTGTAATACAGATTGACTTATAGACTGATATTGTAATGGGTTGTGCTTGGGATTCACAGAATTATTCTATGATAGTCTCAGGATATATTGAAATGCGGATGTTTACATTAAAGATCTTGCTTTCAAACAAAAATATTGAAGTACTAAGATCGGATATTAGCGTACCCCAGTGGAAAAGAATCAAAAGATATTCCAATTTAACGCACTGCATAATAATTTGTCATTTTGGAAATTCGTCAATATGACCTTACTATTTTGATCTTAATAATTTAAAATTTAAACAAGCGCTACCCCCCCCCCCAGAACTAGCCTTCCCGGTAAAGCCAATACGACAGATATCTAAGGAAAGTTTCATTTTTATTCTTGATTTCTCTGACTCGGAATAGTTGAAATGATAAACATAAATTGCAATTATTATTACTTTGCTCTTTCATTTTGCTCAGTCATGATCAACGCCTTCCTTAAATTTTCTGTCAGATCATCGATCCCAGACTTCAGCAAATATTCCAATCATATTTTGCGTTTTATCGTCTTTCCCAAAAGCTATACGAATATGGTACTACAACTACTTAATGACAGTGGTTTATCGTTATTTTTGCAAATATGGATGTTTACACTGCTTGAATCTTATTCTAGGAAGTTTTATAGAGACGGGACTTCCTTTTCACAATGCAATTATATCTGTTTTGTAGGTTCCCGTGGGTAAGATACACACAAGAACAATACGGCCCATCCAAAAGGGACAGATCCGTCAGTGGCGTTCTTCAAATTATAGCCCGTGGAGATATAGTTTATGAATCTTGCCTCAAGTGACGTGTTAAATCCCATATTGGGTTTGAGAAAGGGCCCGTATACACAGCCCGATACACAGTTGCTCGATACAAGTGCAAACTATAAAATAACCATAATATAACAATTATAGATAAATGTTTGGCATGCATTGTTTCTGTTTAATTGTTAAATTATTTGATAACTTATAATAAGCAGATAAGTTGCTTTTCAGGTATTAAGCGGCGATTAAGGACTGAAAACCAGCGTCACACATTTCTTCGGATATTCCTCCATAAGCAGATATACCTGTTTGCATGTTTTAAATTTGATTTGATTTGATTGTTTGAATTAGATAAAGTCTTTAAAATGTTACTAGTGTTTGGGGGGGGGGCTGAGATTTCATGTAGGAATTAAAATTAGAATAAGATTTAAATACGATCTGTTTTGTTTGCATCGTTGTATAACGTTGATAAAACACAAAGGGCAGCATTGGAATTACAAAATTGTGCGATTCCCTACCTCCCAAAATTATTCAAAATTATATTTCTGTCATTCTGATTTCCGTGTCGGGACATTCTGATCTATTAGAGTCTCACTTTATCTAACGCTTTGGTATTCCAAAGGATTGTACTTGCCCGGGAGTACTTGCTGTATATCACGTCGGGAGATTAAACCTCCTGGATTAAACCAGTGAATGTTCCGATCGTCGTAACATTCGATACACCGAGAGATTTCCCAGATTCATACATGCATACTGTATATTCAGCAGGAATTTTACATACTTTATCATTCCCTTCTTAATATATCGTATAATATTTGTATTCTGTTTCACAGATTCCCCTTGAAATACAAGGTAGACTAGATGCGAGTAGAAATAATTTTGATTTACGTCATTAAATATTCAAAATTCAGTCAAAGTGATGTCATAATTTGAAATCTACATGAAAAAGTACATCTAAAAATACGGTTTCGAAAATTGTTTATCAAATTTGAAAATTACGACAACACGGGCAATATATGGCAGGTTAAATGAGTCGTCAAGATTATAACACGCCGGTCTTTATGTTTTTTATTTATTTATTTTATTAAAGTGTCATGAGTCATAAAACATATAAAATACAATTAAAACACCCCAGGCCGACAACGACCTATAGGACACTATAAATACATGTAAATCATTTATATAGATAATTTTCACGAAGTTTAAGCATTTGGCCACAGGCCTTTGCAACATATAGGTAAATACTGGTGTTGCTCATTAAGTTAAAAAATTTCAAATCTCTGTCCATGTGTAGAAAAGCAGGGAGTCGACATACAATTTTTCTGAACAAGTCTGACCTTAAGTCATTATAAAAAGCACAATCTAACATAAAATGCTTTTTATTTTCCACTGAGCCAGTGTCACATAAAACACACAGTCTTTCATGTTCTGGAAGTCTTTCAAAGCGCCCAGTCTCTATACGTAATGGTGCCACACCGCATCTGACTGAAGCAAATGCCCGTCGACACGAAAGGGTTATGTCAGACTTCAAATAAGCCTCGGGCTTTGTATCAAGTTTAAATGTGCGGTATGTCCTAAGCTTGTTTCTCTGGCCGGGTGGGCGTTGACCATCATTCCAAATGTTTCGGTGCCAATCTTGTGAAGCCTTTATCCGTAGATGGGAAGCTATTTCGTCCTTCGAAGTGTCAAATGGTACTGCTAAATCCGAAGTTAATATTTTGTTAAGGTTAAAAAACCAGTTATTATGTTTACGAGTAGTTCCAAAGGATAAATTCCAATTATACACTCGCCTTGTAAGCCTTGTCTCGTCGAGAGATAGACAACGGTCCCTATAACGAACTGCTGCCAGTATCTGCCATTCATATGTTACAGTTGATGAAAGTACAATGTCAAAATCTCATGATGATTTCTTCCGACCTGTGTTTACTGACAAGAGAGGGGTGCGCAGTTGTTGAAGCGAGTATAAACTAAGAAAAATCCAAAGTCCGATAATTAATTAATTGGCATGGATCTGCTAATTGTTTTCGTTATTGTTACTTGTTCTATCTAGACGGTTTTATCTGCATCGATATGGCTGATTATAAGGCATGAACATTTTTCCCAGTTGTGTTAATTGTTATTCTTTAATAAGCGGATTTATATGTTTGAAA